CGGCACAGCTCCGGTTGTTGCAGCCAATTGGGGAATGAACCAGCAGATGGAAGACCTCTCTCTCTCTCTCTCTCTCTCTCTCTCTCTCTGTGTGTGTGTAACTCTTTCAATTAAATCAATAAAATATTAAGAAAAAAAAAGTTTCAGTCCAGAGTGGAGCTGGCATTCAACACCAGACACTCTCGTATGGACGTGGGCATCCCAAGTGGCATCTTAACTGCTGTGTCAAATGCCTGCCCCTCATCAATAATGTTTAAAGTGGGAAAGGGTCCTGGTATCAAACCATTTGAGAATCTTGAGGCTCACATTGTGGTGCAGCAGTTTAACCTGAGATGCCAGCATCCCTTATGGGTGCTACTTCGAGTCCCAGCTGCTCCACTTCCAATCCAGCTCCCTGCTAATGTACCTGGGAAAGCAACAGAGGACGGCTCAAATCCTTGGGCTTCTGCACACCTATGTGAGAGACCGGATGAGGCTCCTGGTTCCTGGCTTCAATCTGAGGCAGCCTGGCTGTTGTGGCCATTTAGGGAGTGATCCAGAGGAAGAAAGATCTCTCTCTCTCTCTCTCTCTCTCTCTCGCTGTCTCTGTAACTCTGCTTTTCAAATGAATAAATACATCTTTTTAAAAAAGTGAGAGCTTCAAAATGGGCAAAGGAGGCCGGCGCCGCGGGTCACTAGGCTAATCCTCCACCTAGCGGCGCCGGCACACCGGGTTCTAGTCCCGGTCGGGGCGCCGGATTCTGTCCCGGTTGCCCCTCTTCCAGGCCAGCTCTCTGCTGTGGCCCGGGAGGGCAGTGGAGGATGGCCCAAGTGCTTGGGCCCTGCACCCCATGGGAGACCAGGAGAAGCACCTAGCTCCTGCCTTTGGATCAGCACGGTGCGCCGGCTGCAGCGCGCCAGCCGCGGAGGCCATTGGAGGGTGAACCAACGGCAAAGGAAGACCTTTCTCTCTGTCTCTCTCTCTCTCTCTCACTGTCCACTCTGCCTGTAAAAAAAAAAATGGGCAAAGGAGGAAATGGGGACACTGGTCGGAAATAATATGGACTAAGAAATAGTTGGACTAAGGTAGTAGCAACTGAGTAGTAAAGAGGAGTTCAATGTCATATAAATGCATGGAATATCAACAAGTTGTTCCTGATGCATCAGATGTGGGAACTGAGAGAAAGAGAGGAGTCATGTGTTATCTCAAGGGGTTATTTTCTTTAATATGTACTTATTTGAAAGGCAGAATGACAGAGAGAGAGAGATAAAGAGAGAGAGAAATATCTTCCATCTGCTGGTTCACTTCCCAAATAGCCACAATGGCTAGGGCTGGGCCAGGCTGAAGCCAAGAGCCAGGAACTCTTTCCAGGTCTCTCACACGGGTTGCAGAGGCCCAAGGACTTGGGCCATTATTCACTGCCTCCCCAGGTGCCTTAGCAGGAAGTTAGATAAGAAGTAGAGCACCCAGGAGTCCAACTGCAGTCCAATATGGGATGCTGGTGTCACAAAACCCTGTAGCAGGGTGTTTTGTTTTGTTTTGTTTTGTTTTGTTTTTTTGCCTTTGTCTTTGGCCTGAGCCAAAATGGAAGGGCATTTACTCAGATAGGAAAGCCCGGGGGGAGGAACAGATCTTGGTGGGGGGGGACAAGTGGCATGGGGGAGGGGAGCAGGATGAGGGGTTTTCAGAAAGTATACGAAAAACTACGTATGGGCATCCACTTTTCTGCACCAAATATACCTTCTTAATTCTATTTTCCGCCACCTTTGGAAGTATCCGTGTATAAGGAGTTTGTTGTGGAACTGCTACGTTTGCGATGCTCGTTACATATTTCCTTAGGAGTGACGGGGGCTGGAGGTACAGCTCGCGGAGTCTCAGCCGTATGGATTGCATTCCCTGTGCTAACGGATGAAGGGAATGTTCTCTGCACCTGGTGTACGGTGGTAGGGCTGACAGGACACCAAGCCTGGAGTGCGGAAGGCACGCAAGGGGGAACGACTTCCCAGAAGATGTCAGCGTGAGCCACAGAACACCTGCGTGAGCTTGTCGTTGTGCTGGCAAGAAAGGCAATCCGGGTCAGCAGTTGCCCACCAAGCTCCACCACAACCAAGGAATCCTGAACTGGTAAGCCTGGGGCTTGTTTAAGCAGGTCAGTCGTGCCTGGGGGAGCTCTGTCCTTTTGTCCTGATAAGCCCCGCCCATTGGTTGGTGCCCTGGGTGGAGGCAGTCTCCACGGGCCCTGCCCCCTCGTGTCTCCCTCTTGGCCTCTGAGTTAGCCTTTGGATGCCTCGGAGCATCACAATGAAAGGAAGGATAAAGTGAAAACAACCAGCAGTTTAATTGTTGGATCTGACCCTTTTGCACCAGATGGATCGGATAGAACCATGAATTTGCTACCTATGCCTGGTCGTTCAGTGATTAAGTCACACGAGGTAAACCTGTGAGTCAGGTGTATTCATTTAAATCTGTACCAAAAAGGCTTCAATGCTTCTCTAGATCGTACCCACTGATAAAAATCCAGACTTTTCTAGATTAGTGCAGCAAGAAAACAAGATGTTCTGCAGGACGCAAAGTGCATTTGTTTTCTATGCTGTGGCTTAAAACAGCACACATTGGTCTCACAATTTTCATGGTTCAAGAGCCTGGCACAGCTTTGCTGGACCCTCTGCTCAGGGGCTCACAAAGCTATGTTCCAGGTGTTGGCCAGGCTGCACTCTCACCTGGAGTCTCAACCAGGGCAGAATCTGCCTCCAGGCTGATTCAGGTTGCTTAAGAATTTAGTTCCTTGTGGCCCTATGTTTGAAGACCCAGCCTTTTTTTTTCTTCTTCTATTTTAAAGATTTATCGATTCATTTGAAAGGCAGAGTTGGGAGGGGGGCAGAAGCAGGGAGAGCAAGATCTTCCATCCACTGGTTCATTCCCCAAGTGGCCCCAATGGCTGGAGCTGGGCCAGGCTGAAGCCAGGAGCCAGGAGCTTCATCCATAAAACCCTACAGATTGCCTGCAGCTCCTGCAAGGCCGCCCATAGTTCTGGGCCATGTTCACTCCCTTGACACTGTTGCCTACGTCTTCGAGTTAACAGAGTCTCTTCCTTCAGTCTACTAACATGAAATGTTACCTAGCATTACAGAATCACAGGACCTCTGTCCATCATCCTTGTCTTAGTCTGCTGGTTGGAAGCAAATCACAGGTCCCACTTGCACTCCTGGGGAGAGAGTTGCACAAAGACACGAGCACCTGGAGGTGGGAAATAAATCATTAGGGATGTGCTTTGGGCAATCACATAAGCACCCATCTGTTACACGGGAAAAGAGCAAGAGAATCAGAGATGACAGACAGTCAACCCAAGTAGATGACATAAAACTGGAAAAATTCCCCAACAGAGGCACAAACTGTAATTTCTAGTCTTGGCTGTTATTAACTATATTACATAAACAGCAAGTTCTTCAGATCTCAATTTCCTTAGTTTACCAGTAAAATGAGATGGGGTGAGAATTTTGGATTCCAATAATAGAAATGCATATTAAAATACCAGGGAAGCACTATGTAGGACCCCAAAAGCGGTGTCCTCTTGTGACGACCCCAGAAACACAGACTCCGGACCAGACGATGCAATAGAACAGGAGGTAATTTTTATTTCATTTGTGCAAATGGGCCCCCTACTGTTGCAAACAGCAAGCAAGTGAGAGGAGCCCCGAGCAGCTATCGCACACAGCTTTTAAAGGGCAAAACCACAAAATTAACATATTATAGGCTGGTGTAAGTTCATTGGATAATTTTCAGTAGCGGGCCTTGTATGGCAGTCTAAAGTGGTAATGTCGGTGGAAAAGTACTAGGTCAAAGGGATACATTAGGGGAGGGGGTCTCTAGGAGAGAGGAATAGGTTGCTACGTGCCTTGCAGCTTTTTTTTTTTTTTTTTTTTTTTTTGTTAACCTTGAGTAAGCGTAGGGAAGGGGCTTATCTACAAGGCAGGTGTTCTGTGTATCTCTGGTTAGTAGCTGACTGCTTTCTCTGTGAACCGGTTTACTCCCCATTTCCCAAGGCCGTCTCTGGAACGGTTTGTCTCAGGAGCCCCATTTTTTTTATGGTGGCTCTTGGCTCCTTTCACACTATTATTCACCTTTAGAAAAAATTATAAGTGACCCCACTTGAAAGTCTGGGTGTTTATGAACACGTTCATGGTGTAACTGGTTTATTCAGTCTTAAAAACCAACATAGCAACATGCATCAGGTCAGAAAATGTGCACACTTGTGATGGGTGATTTCCTGTGTCCACTGGACCAGGCCAGGGGGTGCCCAGATATTTGGTTACGTGTCATTTCCGCGGTGTCTCTGAGAGTGTTCTTGAGTGAGATTAACATTTGGTCCAGTAGACTAAGTAAAGCAGATTGCCCTCCCCTCGTTGAGTGGATCTCAACCAATCTGTTAAGTCCTGAACACAATGAAGGACTGAATAAGAAAGAACTCTCCCTCTGCCTGTCTTTGAGCTGGGACATTGGTCTGCCCTTGCCTACCCAGACAGAACCTTACACGGTTGTTCTCCTGGGCTTCCAGTTTGCCAGCTACACATCTTAGGACATCCTGACTTTCATAATCACGTGAACTGACTCCTGTGTGTGTGTGTGTGTGTGTGCGCGTGCGCACGCGTGTCTTCTATTGCTTCTATTTCTCTGGAGAACCCAAACTAATACAACACCCTTAGAGTAATTCCACTTCCGGGCTTTTATCCTAAGAAAACGTGTAAACATGTTTTTGTAAAACCAGCCACAGCCCAGAGTTGTTTGCCACAACGTTTTTACAATAAGGAAAAAATGGAAACAACACACATGTATAATAATTGGACAATGGTTGAATAAATTATAGCATACCCAATTGAAAGAAAACTATGTAGCGATTAAGCTAATAATCATGGAGATGATGTAGCAATATGGGAAAGTATAAACAGATGTGAATTTATTGAAAAAACAGAACATGAAATGATACAAATACTATAGTTACAAGAAAGAAAAATAATTTTAAAAAGTCTATGTGTTTGGGTCATGGGATTACACATAATTTTTCATAACTTTACCAATATGACATATTTTAAACAATAAATAAAGGTATAAAATCAAAGCAATGAGGAGGTTGAAGTGGTTTGGAACTGGAGTAGATTTCAAAGTTTAAAAATGCTTTTACCTGGCTTTTGCTTTGTAAAGATTCTGAGATGGGGCTGGGACACCTGTGGAAATAGACACAAGCCCACCACCACCACCCCGTCCGTCTGCACCAGAGATTCCAATGCATACTGGCCAGCAAATTCTCAGCATAAAGTCCCACCAGTCTCTGCGAGAGAGGCAGATAAGCCAGCCAGGAGCTTGGCATTGCCCAGGAGGCACCATGGGCTTCGAGCAGCAGGCTGTTCTCAGGGTGCTCCCGGCCTGCCGGGGCCACTGCCGGCAGCGTCCGTGCCGGGCGAGCCGTCTGAGGCACTGCCCTCGGAGCAGGACCGCTCCACGAGGCGGAAAGCCTCCAGGAACTCGTTGATGTCGATGTGGCCGTCCTTGTTGAAATCGATGCTCCGGGCAAGGTCGCAGATGCAGTCGTCTGTGATGTCAACGTTCATATGAGAGCTGAACAGCTTCCAAGTCTGCCTGAACTCATCCAGCGAGATGAACCCTGGACCGGAGGCAAGCACACTCCCCAGTGAGTCCGTCTAGATTTCAACGTTCAGTTCCTGTGACATCCTTACAAGGTCACCTGCTCTCTTCTGCTAAAAGGAGAAAGACTCCCAAGCCGTGGTGTCTAGTTAAAGGGGGATCACATGAAGCTGCTACGTCACCAGTGGTTCTCAACTGGGAGCAATTTTGTTCTCTTCCCTTCAGGGGATATTGAACAATGTCTGGACTCACAGGTGTTTTTTTTTTTTTTTTAAAGGTATATCCATTTATTTGAAAGAGTGACAGAGAGGGAGAGACAGAGAAACTCTCCATCTGCTAGTTCACTCCCCCAGTGGCCTCAACAGCCAGGGTTGGGCCAGGCTGAAGGCAGGAGCCAGGAACTCCATCCTCATCGCCCACATGGTGGTAGGGGCCCTAGCACCCAAGCCATCCTCTGCTGCCCTCCCTAGCACACCAGCAGGGAGCTGGACTGGAAGCAGAGCAGCCGGGACTTAAACTAGCACTCCAACACCAGATGCCAGAGTTGCAAGTGGCTGTGCCATGACCCCAGCACCAGAGTCTGGAGACATTCCTGATGATGACAATTGAGGTGAAGATGGGATGCCACTGCCATCTCGTAGATGGAGGTCAGGGATGCTGCTGATTACCCTGCAGTACTCAACACAGAGCCCAAGACCAAGAACTACCCCTCTCCAATTTCCAATAGCATCGCTGCTGAGAAATACTGCATTAAATCATCCCAAACACATTCGCATTTACTCTCCTAATGAAAAGCCTTTGGGCCATATATCCATAGCCAATGGATTTTTTTAACCAGAGTTCCAAAATTATTTGATGGGAACAGTTTTTTCAACAATGATGGGGACAACCAGATACCTGCACACAAAAGAATGATGTCAGATCCCTACCTCCTACTGTATACAACAATAACTCAATATGGATAAAAAGCCCAAATGTAAGAGCTAAAGCCTTAGAACTCTTAGAAGAAAACATAGCTACAAATCTGTCACCATAGGTTATGCAACAGTTTCTTAGATATGACACACAAAAGCACAAACAATAAAAGAAAATACAGACAAATGGAACTTTTGCAAAGTTAAAAACTTTAGTGCATCAAAGGACACTACCTAGCTGGCACTGAGGCTCAATAGGCTAATCCTCTGCCTGCGGCGCCAGCACCCTGGG